AAGTTCGATACTCACTGTTTCATTAAAAGAAAGTTATTATTCCTAATAAAGAAGCATTGCTTTGTCAAACGGATACTTGAGAAAATTCACAACGAATAATATTTATTGAAATAACAAAACTAAGGTTTTCTATTCAAAATTATTAGGTTACGTTTTAAAAGAATGTTTTCAGCTTCCCATACAGTGGTTGCAAAAAAAAAAAAGAAATGCCGTTTACATGTGACATAACAGCACTGCTGTATCAGGATTAGGACTCTCCATTTTACTACCCACCACCTTAGCATGATGTAATTTCCCTTCCAAAAGAACAGTTAAACACACATGCACTTAAGTTTTTTCGTAAGAAAAGTTACAGATATATGCTGCAAAAAATGTAATGTCAGTATTGAACACTGACAATGAATCACACTGGTTGTTAGGAAATCCGGAAAGAAGAACGCAAACGCGCATGAAATGGCGCGGCAAAGTAAATGCGCAAGCAAATAAAAAGAACAACTAAAGAAAGAACTAATCACCGGATGCACACGAGAACAGTTATTGCGGCTAGATGTCTCATCCGGTTTGTCGTGTTATAAGCGATGGTGGCGAAGGATGTTGCCAACACTTTTTCATTCATCTCCAGTCCCTCAGGTGAGTATATTCTTGCATTCGAAAACAACGCTGGTTACAGGAGAAAAGCAATAGTTTACGCGTGAGTGTTCTTTCAGCATCACTCGATTTCTATGGGGAAACAGCGTGGGATCTTCCGCTGACTTAGGCACCGCCCTGTGGAGCGTGGCCGGAAATATTCGGGTATACCAACCAATACTACATGGTGACGAGATGGGGTGCTGAGTGGTGAGAGAGAGAGAGAGAAAACTTTATTTGCGCATAACGCGGAGCATTCCAAATGGTCGGGCCCCTAATCCAGGGCTCCGCTGGCCCTAGCCATCATCTCTACCCGTTGGACCAGCCAGCGCTGATCAACAATGGCCGAGCTGGACAGCAGCGCCTCCCATTGTTCCTCTGTGTTGTTCATGTTGTGGTGTTCTTCTTTGTGATGCGTACACTCCCACGTGATGTGAAACAGAGTTGGTGTGGCCCCACACCACGGACATATATCTTTGTATGCTGTGGGGTAGAATACATGCAGCCTGTGTAAGTTCGTGTATTTGTTTCGATTCTGCGTAATGCCACCGATTCCATTGCTGTGAGTTTCCTATGCGGTGCTGGATACACTTTTCTGTTGTCCCTTTAATACTGAAGAATTGTACCAAAGTTAGGGTCTAGGGGCGTTGGATCCTCTATTGCAGTGTGCAAGGAAGCTCGGTAATTTGTGAAGCCTCGAGCCGCCTCATCCGCAAACTGGTTCCCGGTGACGCCCTCGTGCCCTGGCGCCCAGATAATGGTTTGGGTGTATTCAATTGGGAAGTCCTTACGAGCTTTGGTTAGAATTTGGATGGCCTTCATACATATTCTACCTTTTTCTTAATTTCCACATGCAGCCTTCGAATCTGTGATTATTGTCATTGGGGCTTTTCGCTCCCTGCCCTCCTTGATTGCCAGCGCAATCGCTATCTCCTCGCCTTCTGTGATAGAGGCTTGGGCTATGGAGGCACAACTTGTGACGTTTCCTTTTCGGTCTGTGACCACGGCCACCATGTTCTCTGCATTTACCTGATATGGTGCAGCGTCAGTAAATCTCACTGTATTCAAATATTTTGTCAGTTTATCTATGTAAGTGGCTCTTTCTTTACGTCTTCCAGCATGTAAAACTGAGTCCATGTTCTTCGGTAGGGGCATATTTTGTACCAGGCTCTGACTGAGCACGCCAATTCCTTAGCTCTTCCATGTGCCTGTACTTGTTCACCGAGGCCTGTCCTTTGAAAAAGTTTTCTGCCGGTTGGCGTCTGTAGCAGGCGGTTAATCTGGGTGGTTACTTGTGCCTCAGCCAACTCATCAAATGTATTGTGAAGTCCGAGCGCTAATAGCTTCGCAGTAAAAGTGCTTTGTGGTAGTCGCAAAGCCGCTTTATATGCCATCCTTATTATCCTTTGTCCTTTGTCTGCTTTTTCTTTCTCCTCTCTATTCATGTTGTGGTAGGGTAGCGAGTATGTTAGTCTGCTGATGACCAAGCTCTTTACCAAACGAAGCACGTCTTGTTTTTTCAGTCCAGCACGATTGTTCGTTATTCTAACCATCACACGAACCATTTGTTGAACTGTTTGTTTAAGCATATTCAGTGTGTGGAGACATCGCTGATTGGACTGTAACCACATCCCTAAGATTCGAACGGTTCTTTTCTCTGGAATAATATTGCCGTCTACCTTGACCTCAATGCGGAGGCTCGGGTCGGTCCTTTGTTGTTTTACTCTTGGAGAACCGAATGAGTTCCGATTTGTCTGCTAAGCACTGAAGTCCCCTTTCTTTAGTGTAATCTTCGATGGTTTTAGCTGCCAGTTGAAGCCACTCTTCTTTGTCTGCCAAGCTACCCTTGGTTGTCCATATAGTGACGGCATCCGCATAGAAGGAGTGTCGGGTGTCGGAAATACCTTCCAATTTTTTGGCTAGACCAATCATGGCTATGTTGAAAAGAGTAGGCGAGATCACAGTGCCTTGTGGTGTGCCTTTGCTCGGTGGGTGGAAGACATTGGATTCGTCTTCTCCTAATCTGATAACAGCTGTTCTTTTAGTAAGGAAGTTTTGTACATAATTGTACGTCCTTCGACCGCAGTTTGTCGCTGCTAGCCCATCTAATATGGCCTTATGGCTTATGTTGTCGAAAGCGCATTTTATGTCGATGACCATGACAATGTTTTCTCTTGCTTTAGGAACATTTGTTAGTACTTCCTTCGTTTAAAAGCAGAAGTATGTCCTATGTAGAAAAGTTCGAGCGGAAACCAAACATTGTGTTTGGCAACAAGTTATTTTGTTCAAGGTGCCGTTGAAGTCTGGTATTTATTAATCTCTCAAACACTTTGCCTAAGCACGAGGTAAGAGAGATTGGCCTGAGGTTTTCTATTGCCAATTTCTTTCCTGGTTTGGGCATCATAATTATTACAGCATGCTTCCATTGCTGAGGTATAGTGCCATTCACCCAGTGTTTGTTAATGAAGTTTAGAAGCGCTGTTATGGCTTCGTCGTTCATGTTGCGAATCATGGCATTGGTGATTTGATCCGCCCCAGGTGCTGTGTTGCGTTTCATGCTGACGATTGCCGCTCTGACCTCGCCATGTGTGAAAGGTGCATCCAGTTCTGAGTTTGGGAGCCCAGTGTATTTAGCCTGGTAAGGGACTGTGATGGCTCGGCCGCCGAAACACCCAATATAGATGTCTTGAAGGAGGTCATCTCGTGTGCCTGGATATGTGTGCAATAATCTTTCTAGAGATTTTTGTCCTTCGCGTTTAGTTTTCAGAAGGTCAATCATGGCTCTTAGGATATTCTATGTCTTTGCTGTTCCTAGGGTTCCATTTAGTGAATCACAAAATTGTTCCCAGTTGGCTGTCGCGAGTCTATTAGCGTACTGTTCGGCTTGCTGCGTTATTTCTTCAATTGTCTACTTGAGTTTCTTATTTCCCTTTTGCCTTTTCCATCTTTTAGTGAGGTTTCTTCCTGCTTCCCACAGATGGAGAAGGTGAGCGTCTACTTCAGAGGTATCATCTGTTCTGGCGACGGTTTTGGTGTGCATTTGCTTTTCGTTTCGAATTACTTTGCACCACTCGTCCAAGTCGTCTATGGTGGTCACGTGCGCTATGCATGCCAGTCTGTAATTTTGGCTGTGCCAATGTGTTTGTGGATTCGGCCGGTGCGAATTGTGGTGCTTAGTATGTAATGATCACTGCCCAGGCTTTCAAGGGTGTTGTACCAGTCCACGCTGTGGCAGTTTTGTACTATCGTCAAGTCCGGACTTGTGTCCATGGATACGCTGTTGCCTATCCTCGTTGGTATTGCAGCGTCAGTTAACAGAGTCATTTCCAGTTTCTCTATTTGTCTTGCGATATTTTTGCCTTTAGTGTCTTGCATCTTATATCCCCAGCTTGCATGCCTGGCAATAAAGTCCCCAACTATGATTAATGGATTTCCTTTCCCCAGTTTTGCCGTCTTTTGAAAGAGCTTGTCGAACGTTGCTTTCTTTTGTCTTGGAGGACTATAGATATTAAGTAGGAAGGCACTCTTTTCATGGCTTCCTTTGTAGGTTATTTCTGTTATGATATGCGGGACATCCACCTCTTCAATGGGCTGATGACATATTGCTGTAATTGAGTTATCGACTAATGTAGCAACTTTCCATTCTGCGTCCCCGGTACTAAAAGTTTTGTAGCCCCGTAATTTTGGTTGTGTTCCGGCTTCCTGGACTGCTATGACAGCAGGTGGCTTTTGTTGCGACGCCACCAGCTGCAACAGTTTCCCTCCTTTCCGCCGGAAACCACGGCAGTTCCACTGCCATATTTCGCACTTTTCTGACCGCTGCGTTTGATGAGTAGCCATTATGCGTCTCCTGGTTCGTGACTGAATATCCGGGCCTGTTGTAAATTTTCTCAGCTTTTTCTCTGATGTTGATGCCTGATGCATGCTTTCGTAAAGCTTTCGTGAATTCGACGTGTTGTGCCTGGATTTTCTTGTCCAGAATTTCACGCTTTCTATCTACATTTATCATTACTTGCTCTATAACTGTCGGTATAACTTCCTTTAATGTTTCTTTCAGCATTGACAACGTAATCATTGAGTCGCCTCCTGCATTCGGTTGCGTCTGCAACTTCTGGCCACTCTGGGCGGGTATAGAGTTTTGTTGCGGGTGCTGCGTTTGTTTCTTTTTAGTTTCCTATTTTCGCGTTCTAGGTCACCTATTCTCACCCGCATTATCTCTAACTCACGTTCTAAGCGCGTGAGTTGTGGTGTTTGGTGAGAGTGTAGGGAGGATTTTGCTGCCCAGCTCACCTGGTTCTTTGCTTCCTTTTTCTGCGCCTTCTAGCTCTTGTGCTGTTGGTGCTTTGCTGGTGCTTTGCTGGGCTTGTGGCCACCTTTCTTGGAGTTGGAGAAGTCTCGAGAGCCGGACCTGGATCGGGATGTAGATCGAGACCTGGATCAAGAACTGGGACAGGCCCCACCTAGCGGTGTAGAGTCCTCGCGGTCCGTGCTGAACCAGCGTCTCTTGAATATGCCAGCAGTTTGTGGTGTGCTGTGTTGGTGCGACAGCCACGACCAGCCCTTTTGAGGGACGCGTTTGAGTTTTTTGGTGCACTTCCATGTCGCCGTGGGATGGCGTCCGCCACACAGGGCACATTCCGGATCGCAAGTGTGGTCCTCAGGTGGGTCTCTAAGGCGACAGTTGCTGCACGCCTTTGTCATTGGTGTGGGACAAGCATCCGTCCTATATCCCTGGCTCTTGCAGAGTTTACAGTACTGCCGTGTGGGTTGATAAGGCACACACGGCATTTCACCACCGTAATAATACATGAAGCGCGGCAGTATTGGTCCATCGAACGTGCTCACTGCAGTTTGTGACTGTCCGAGCATGCGGGCTTGAGCAATTGTCACTCCTTGAGTGCGCACTCGGAGATGGCTCAGGAGTTCAGCTTCTGGCATTTCGCGTTCTAATCCGTGTACCACTCCTTTCAAATATCTAGCAGGACTGGATATGTAGGTGTTTACGAGATAGTTGGTGCCATTGAGCTTCAGTGTCTTTATCTTCAATATCTTTTCTGCTACATCTTCGTACGGAGTGCATGCAATAATTATTTTTGATGCGTTGCGAAGGCGAAGCAGGAATTTGTGGCAGTTACAGGTCACCGATCGCATGTTCTATCGCTCGCGCAACCTGGTATGCTTTCAGTTTTTTCACAACTAACCCTGGTCTGGGCCGCACAATAATCTTCATATCGTTTTTGGGCAGCGGCGTCACGTGCGTTCGTCGTCAGCCCCTTTCAGATGCTCTTCCGCGTCCCTCTTCTGCAAGCGTTCTAGCGCCAGAGCTGTTGCTCTCAGTTACGCCTCGAGCAACGCTGTCATCACTCGCTGCGCGTTCTTGTTTCCTGATGCGTTTTCGCTGTCGCAATGACATTGCTACCTGCCACTGACCATTCTTGGCTTCGTTGTCGCGTTCCTCCGCATAGTCTTTTTCCTTGTTCTCGGCGTCGCTAGTAGATTCCCCTTGTAGCACCTCGTCAGGTGAAAGGAAATCTTCGTTGGCGTCCACCGCAAAGCTCACTTGGGTTTCGATGTCTTGCTCATCCATGTCCATAAGTGCATGGGCTAGTTCCGGGTCGTTGTCCGTTGGGGTTCGGGCAGGTGGAGCGCAACTCGTCGGCCGAGAGCTGGCTGCCAGGACTCCGCGTTCCGCTTTGCCGCGAGGCTTAGCGTGGCGGGTTGGCATGCTCTGCCGAAGGTCTTCACTTCTCAGAGGAAACCGGGATCGCTTGTACAAGAAGGTGGTGTCAGCGTGTACCTGACCTCTTCCTGCACAATTCCCTTAGTTTTAATGGTGGTCACATGATTTTAACCGCTGCTAGGTATGATGATTGACGAAGCCAATGTGAACGCGTTTGCACTCCTCGGCGCCACCTGGCGGTCCCCGCTGAGTGGTGAAACAGCAGTTTCCGAGAAGTGGAGATACGTCCTTAGTAACTCCCAGGGGAGTTTGATTCTTGCGGTGGTAAAGCACAGGAGGCGGAGATAGCTGGCGTCTGCGTGACGCCCTTAGCTTCACTCGTAGACCGCAACGCTGAGGTAAGACGCTCTGGTCCAGCCACCCTGCTTCATCCAATCACTCACGCCGTCTGCACTTCACTCTACGTGCCCGCGCCTATTTAGCGCGGGCCTCATGTCACCATCGTCTTTTTTTCCTTGCAGCAAACACGTGTGCACTCGCTCGTTGGCGCGCACATCACCGGAGCTTTCGTCGGCAGGCGCGTACTACCGGTGACTCTAGCGCATGCATGTGGAGCGGTGCTGGTTTCACGCGTCACACAGCAGTTATTGGGCAGCGATAGTCGTTGCACGGCTTCAAGAGTTGTGGTCACTCCGCATATATTTTAATCTGAGGATCGGTGGATGGAAAGAACTTTATATTGTATCCGGCGTGTTAGAAGGCTGGGCTCCCGACTAAGTGTCAGCTTGAAGGTCTTGCCTCCTATAGGGGCTCTCTCGCACCGCTGGATTGCCCATAGCTGATCGTCCAGGGCTGAACTGAGCAGCACGGCCAGCCAACGCGCGCAGAGGCTGTCGGTGGAGGCCGCGTTCTCATTACTGTGTTTTAATTCATGGCATTCTCATTGTATATGTTCTAAGGAAGCTCATGCCTCACAATATTTGCATTGAGCGATCGCGTATATCTATGGATACGTATATACTATCCGTTACAAAAATTCTTATTGAAAAACAAAATGAAGGTATTGAGAAACGACAACAGATGGGATAAAAAATACATGACGGTTCAATTGAAATACCGTTGAGGAAATTGTTGACCAGTATTGAAAATCGGCCTACGACTTCAATTGAAAGCTGTCAATGCACTCGATATAGATTTATCATTGAGAGAAAATGAAAAGGCAATGGAAAATACGTTGTGGATCAATTGAAATGTCACAAAGGCAATTATTGTTGACAAGCATTGAAAATTGGCCCATGATCGACTTTCGATCGAAAGCCATCAATGCGTAAAAAAACAATTATGTTTTCGCACTTGACAGCGGCTTTTCGCCAATAATGCTATTCATGACCAAAGGTATTTAGACAACCATTAATATTACAATCACCTGCATCTACAGACCACCCCAATTCTGGAATCGAACTTAAGACGTAGTGATCGTTACGCAGATTACTTAACGATTGCACCGCAACGCCACCACGTGAAGGCGAGTCTTTTGCGGAGGTAAAAATCTATACCGAAAGCGTTTTGCAAATCGTCGGCGAAACTTAGAACATTATTTGTGCCATATGCATTTGTTTGCGCACGCGTCTGATCAGCGAATAGTTTGTAGGGTCGTGATCTCGAGACAACAACGGTGAGCTCTTTCGGCTTCAACTGCGCTTCGTGGTACGCCGTTTCGCAAGAACGATTAACGTGTGTTCATGCGTCGTTTTTGACTTTCCCGTGAATCGCGGGTGTTTCGCTCACTGAAATTCATGGATTCCAGCGTGACAACGCTGTGTTCGGTTGTGTAAACCTGCGTATGTTTTTCGCACGTGCATGTGCGTAAACAATCTCGCTTAGTTGTGTCACGAGGTATACGCTTGTCAGTGACAGCAGCATATATGCTCAGCTGCTTGAAGACAATGCGCTTTCACACGTAAACGATGCATGGGTATTTTAGCGTGCCTACTCTAACATTTGTCTTTTGTACGCGCGAACTTCCGCGAGCTGCACGCTGGTCAGCAGCACCTTTTTAGGACTTTGGCGATTACTTATTTTCGCAATTAGAATTCAGCCGCAGCTTTTTAGGATTTTGACAATTACTTATTTCTGCAGTCAGAATTTATGTGCGTTATTTCGCTATGTAGAGTGGTTTTTACTCATTTTCGGTCTTTTAACTCAACATATTTACGAGGAGTGGCTACTTTTACCTTTATTCAGCATCACACCGCTGTTCAAGTGAATACCAAAACGCGCACCAAGCTCAAGTATGACGTACACAAATTAGCGGAGGACAGGTAGGTCTCCCTTCAAATAAAAAAATTGCCCGCAGCTTCCCTCGGGGGAACACTGAGGAGGATGCGGAGCATATAATTGGTTAACGGGGTGTTAAAGTGCGACTTACTTGGGTCGATGGCTAAATTGGTTAACGTGGTTGTGAAATGGGGTGTTAAATTGCGACTTACTTGGGTCGATGGCTAAATTGGTTAACGTGGTTGTAGGAGGGGGTGTTAAATGAGTGAACACGTACACACGTATGCGAAAGGGCGGCGCTGGTCGAAGGGACGTCGATCATTGTGTTTGTGGATTCGTTGGAATTCATTTCACCGCGACCTTGGACGTCGACGCGCCGTACAAACCAACCGACGAGCGGCAACTGAGCGAGCGAGCGCCGACCTTGAGTATATATACAGCTCGACGGCGCATGCACTGTCAGCTGTTGAATGTTCTCGAAGCGCGACGCCACATGCACGTCCACTGGAGAATCAGGAGAATTGTAGATGTCGAACGCGGTGTGTAGAGGAGGAAGGGTGCACAGATGGTGGAGGAGTGAAGCACGCGCGGTGTGTAGAGGAGGAAGGGATGCACAGATGGTGGAAGAGTGGGCGACGGCGCGACGGCGCATGCGCGCGCGTCAGCTGTCGAATGTTCGAGAAGCGGTGCGGACGGCGCGGACGGCGCACTACAAGGCGCGAGTATAAGATGCTCCGCATCTAATAATCCTTGTGTGCATCTCTTTCGCGAACATCCACGTGCAGATGATGTCAAGAAGTAGTGCAAAACGAACCTCCAAATTTTTATATTTACTGCTAGCAGTTGCTCCTTAGAAAATAGGGATTTTTATAGCTGGTACATTAACTCCACAGCAGTACACTGGTTGTCTTGGTTGTGGTTCACTGTTACAAATTCATTCTGGAATATGAGAACTGTACTTATATTCAAAAGAGTGAGCAAATGTTGGTGACATACGCTCTCCTGCTGACTTCTACACCTGACTTCTGTATACTTGATGTTGAAGTTCATAATCAAATTACGCAACCACAAGTCAAACATCAACCAACCGATTTTCAATTTTGATCTTTCTCTGTCTCGCTGTCTTCTGTTTGTTTCTTTCTTGCCATGCTTTCGTAAAGTCATCAGTACAATTTCTTTTGTAGAACACGAGCATAGACATATAGGCTCGTGTTTCAGTACTGTCAAGCACGCACTATGGAGCGGCCGCACCACGAACAGGAAACTTCTCAGCTTCCGCGGTTCTCACCCCTGCTTTCTATTTTCCTATTCTTCCTCCTTCACGCGCGCGCGCTGGAGAACATGGGCGGGCTCACGGCTCAATTTGTATTATGAAATATTGCTTACGAAATATTTCGTTCGTGGTTTTCTGATAGAAATGAGACAATAACGTTTCATTGCAAAGTGTTCAACATAATTATTGTTTACGAAATATTTCATTCATAATTTTTTGATAGAAATCAGACATTAAACATTTAATTGCAAAGTGCTCAACAGAAATATGGTTTACTATATATTCGTGAATTGTTTTTTTACGGAAATGAGGCAATCAAATTTTCATCGCAATGTGCTCAACAGAAATATTGTTTACGAAATACTTTCTCAATGGTATTTCAACAAAAATGAATAAACAACATTTTTATTGCGAATTCTCAACAGAAATATTGTCGCTGAAGTATTGAAGCAAGTCAATGCGTATCGCGGAACCACTGATAATCAATGCAGTCAATGACTCGATCAATGTCCGACAATAGAAAATCAACAGTCATTTTCAAAAGGGATATAGCATGTATGGTAGCGCTGGGTTCCTATAGAATTCGGTTTGTAAATGTCCCCATTGGACAGAGTGTGTCCTGTTGAGTTTATGATGAGAAGAGGAGACTTTGAGCTCCGCCGGTCGACGTGACTAAAAAAAACTAAGCTACGCTTAGCACGCGCAACAAAATCACTCAATGGACAAGCACCCTCATCCTTCTCTGTTTGATCTTAGGATTCACTATAGAAAAGTCGCCCGCTAAAAGAGGCCGTGCGTTTTGGCAGTGCTTGGGCTAGCTGTTGCACATGTCAGTAAGGGAAATCACACATGATTGAGCCCGGCCATAAGCTACTTCACATATAAAAGAGTTGCACGCTTAAAAATGGCACTACCTTAGAAGTGACAAGTGGAACATGTGCAAATGTGCGCGCATGTGCGCGCATGCGCAGCGTGCTGCCACACTCAAACACGAACACTCTCACTCCCGCCTCCGACTGTTTGAGGCATGTGTTCTCTGCATACGACTTGGTAGTCACCATATATGAAAAATTACTATAGATGTATCTCTTTGTTCACTGTGTTACCACTCTGTGATTAGACATGCTGATTGGTAAATTTTTCATTGCGCAAAGGAAAAAAAGCAGGTACCATAAAAATGGTTGCGTGTCCTTTTAATGCTGGAAGACCCTTAAGTGTAATGCAGCTTAGTACTCGTTAACCTTCTGGAGAAGAGGAAAATGCGACATCTTGCTGTGAAGTGATGTATGTGGTGTTCAAACTATTCAACCTGTTCAAAAGAAAAAGGCAAATGGTGGTGCACCACAATTATTGCTCAGCATCGACAACGTCGTGAACACGTTTGACACTTCGAAGGCGCAGAGCTTCGAGGGCAAAGCAGAAGTTGGCGCGCCGGCACACGCGTCTAAGTAAAGGCACCTTCCGGCATGCCTGGTGCTCTTCAATGCGAAAGCTCCAGGGTCCGTTTGAGAAACATAAAGCGAATAGCCAGTTCATGCGTGTTCATGCTGAAAGACTGAGTTCGCAAACGCAGACGTAGAACGAAGTCAACCCACCGCATACGCCATCTAACAACTGAAAAAAAAGCGAACAGCAGTGGTAAATTGCGTACGAGAAAATTTTATCTGTGCATGTCCGAGCGAAATTTGGCATTTATATTTTGGCAGGCCTAGGGGTTTACGTAGAGAACTGTCAGGCATTTTACTTTTTTATATGACCTAATCGATGCTGGTCATCAGTGAGACTTTAATTTGACAGAAAACAGAAATGTATATCTTGACAGCTTCAAAACACACTAGGCAATATTGTATTATTCTACTTTTTTGCGAGGTTTCTGAAACAACTTGCACGCGCAAACCTTCGCGCTCCTTTCTACTACGCGCTGCAACCTATCGGAGTAAAAAAGAACGCTAAAGCTTGCGCACATAAGCCACCGAAATATAATTGATGATTGTTGGCGCTTGACATATCAAAACCACCATATGATTATAACAGACGCCGTAGTAAAGGGCTCCGGAAATTACGACCTGGGGATCTTTGACGTGCAGCTAAATCTGAGCACACAGGCTTCAAGAAATTTCGCCTTTATCGAAAATGGGGCCGCTGCAGCCGCAATTTCACCCCACAGCGCAAAAAAACAATTAGTAATTATCAACATCACGGTGTAAGGGTGACAGCATCTCAGTCAGACGATTAAGAACCGGTTCGCGGAAGAATGGAGAGCAAGTCTCCTTAAATTTTTATGGGAGCCCAGGGCGTTTTTTTTTTTTAAATAAATGTACGTAAGGAGTTCATGGTGACTGTTGATTTTGCTTGGTAACCTGGCACCCTCTAATTCACACTTCGCACTATCACCGTAAGTGAATATCGAGGACTGTCTGCTCTCACATACTCTTTGTATTTTCTTTCCCTTTAACAGGAAAGCGGACTTCGAGGCAGCGGCAATGACACCTAGAAAGCCTTACACTCAACTCATTGATGGCTTACCCCGAGATCCTAATTACGACGCCGAGTTATTCCGGTCCAGCATGAATTTCCGGGCTGAGAGTGGGGACTTGGTCTTGCACACCTACCCGAAGAGTGGTACGCACCTGCTGCTGTACATCACGCAGTGCATTCTTAACAAAGGCGAAGGAGCCCGCACCTACGAAGAATTTGCACAGAACACGCGATTGCTAGGAGGCATGGATTTCGCCGACTGGCGACCATCTCTTCCCCTGCGCCTTTTCTCGACTCACCTACCACCCCAAAGGAGCAACATTAATGCGCGGGCGAAATACGTCTACTTGGCTCGGAACCCGTGGGACGTTTGCGTTTCCCTCTTTCACATGGTAACGGACTTTAGCACGTACCGGTTTCAAGACGGCACGTTCGATGAGTTCTTCGACGATTTTCTGGAAGGTGACGCTGCTGGTCATGGCTGTTACTTCGACCACGTGGCGTCCGGGCACGCCCTGAGGCAGGAACCAAACGTCCTGTTTGTCACCTACGAGGAACTCCTCAGAGACACTCGGGCGGTTGTCATGACGCTGGCTCGGTTTCTTGGCGAAGAATATGCTGCAGATTTACAAGCTAATGACTCCATATTTCAAAAGATTCTCGCAAGTTCCACCCCGGATAATATGAGACGCATCCTCGTTCTCGATTTCAGCAGACCGTCAAGTGCATTGTTTACAGGCGAGTCGCGTCACGGAAAGGTGAAATTCAAGGTCGGTTACGAAAGTGACTCGCAGAAGTACAGTTTCGTGAGGAAAGGCGCTATCGGAAGTTGGAAAGATCATTTTTCTCCGGACCAGTTGCGTCGAATGGAGTCTGCGATACAGCAGGTCGAAAAGAAAACGTCTGTAATGGAGCTCTGGAGGGACGCAAGAAAAGAAGCTATCGCAGTCGCTGAAACCGACAAAAGAGAAAAATTGCAATCTGAAGGGGATCGTGTTGAATAAGTTGGATGTCATGGTTCAAAATCTACACGCACAAATACCTGAATGCAACCAACAGTATACATAACTCATTGCAGATATATTAGCGTAGTTGTGTTTAAAGTCGAACTCAGCAATTAATGTCTCTGTTTGTGATCTTTTGTCTGGATCTGTTCCCGAGTAAGACCCCGTTGGTGAATTTTAGAGTGTATAATTACTTTAGATTGTTTATGTAGGCCAAGGCATAAAGACACGGACCGGCCAGCTTGTCGAAGTAAGAAACGTAAATATACGTGTAATCTAAAAAACGTTGAGCAGAAAAACATAAAAATCAATAAAAATAAACGTAACAAAGCCACTGCCTAGGTCTGTTAATGCTATGCCACCAGCTTTAAACATGGTCAGCCTTCTCACAAGCAAATTACACCAAGCACCCGGCACGAAGCACACGTGCGCCTGCCTTGGCTGCTTCGCCCTACATCCATCGTGGATGTTCGCACATTTCTCCAATCTTGTCAGAAGACACGCAACTATTCTGAAGATATTTATACCACGTACACCAATACTTTCTCCTCACACCAGTGGTAAAAAGTTACAAGGCATGCTTGTAAATTTTAATAAATCAGGCTTGATTTCCAGTTACGGCAGTAAGCCATCCTTTCTCTTCTAATGACAGTCAGAACCACCACGTAGCGCTCATTGCTGTACGCATACCTTGAAGTAGCATGGAGTATTTAGTGTGCTTGTATACAATTGTAGGGAAGTTGGCACGACTCTTCTAAATCATGTTCCTTGAAATAAACTATGATATTTATTATGTGTTTGGATAACCTATATAATATATGTCTCACCAGTGATACTTGGTTTCCTTGTATTACTGAGGAGCTTGCAATTATAATACCTTAATTATCAGAATTCCAATTTTTGCCGTGACTATATATAGTTTCAAAGGCTTGGAATGAGGTTTCGCCATGCCAATGCGAGTATGTGCCATGGTGGGAAAAAGAATAGGGCTGTTTGGCTGCTCGTGCTCTAACGTTCGGTATGGCTCGACGTCCAGTGCAGCTGCTGCCGTGAACAAACGTTGTGGTTGTTCAGCAATCACGTGACATTTTCTGGTGGAGGTGCGGGGTAAACTTACTGCTTTGCGTCCACCTGCAAAATCAAGCAGACCCCAACCGTGAAGCACCACATTATAACGCACCCTACCGAACGTCCTATATGGCAGCACGTCTACCACGTGTCACTAAAACAACAAGATGCAATACGTTTTCAGGTGAAACAGGTGCTCGACGACGACGTCATCCAACCCTCGAACAGTCCATGGGCTTCACCCGTCGTACTTGTTAAAAAGAAAGACGGCACTCTTCGATTTTGCGTCGATTACCGGAAGCTCAGCAAAGTGACGAAGAGAGACGTCTACCCTCTCCCACGCATAGATGGCTCACTGGATCGATTTCGACATGCCAGATATTTTTCATCAATGAATTTACGTAGCGACTACTGGCAGATCAAGGTCGATGAACGCGACTGGGAAAAAACAGCATTCATAACTCCCGATGGCCCCTACGAATTCAAATTGTTATCATTTGGATTGTGCTCTGCACCGGCAACGTCCCGTAGGATGATAGACACCGTCCTATCCGGTCTGAAGTGGGAATCCTGCCTCGTCTATTTAGACGACGTCGTTAATTTTTCCAAAACATCCGAGCAACATTTACAACAATTTCAGTCCGTCTTCGTCGCTATTCGATCCGCAGGCCTATCGCTAAAACTGGAGAAGTGTCATTTTGGCTACGAAGAACTAAAGTTCCTCGGCCACCTTGTCAGTCACGATGGCATTCGACCAGACCCAGAAAAGACCATGGCCGTTGCTGCATTTCCTCCACCTTTGAACAAACGGCGTTTGCGCCTATTTTTGGGTCTCTGCGCCTAATACAGGCGCTTTGTCTAGAGCTTTGCCAACATCGCTGAACCCCTTACCCGCTTAACGAAGGAGCATACTCCTTTTGTTGGGTGTCCAGAGCAGAGAGCCACTTTTTCCAAGCTTCAACAGTGCCTTCAGAGTCAACCCTTACTAGGGCACTTTGATGAAAATGCCACCACTGAACTTCACACTGACGCAAGCAGCATCGGTCTTGGTGCAGTGCTCGTCCAGTGGCAAGCCGGTGCTGAACGTCCCATCACTTATCCTAGTCGCATTCTGTCATCTGCGAAAACTAACTACTCGACCACGGAGAAGGAATGTCTTGCTGTTATTTGGGCAATAACAAAGTTTCGACCGTATCTGTATGGCCATCCATTCAGAGTAGTTACGGACCATCATGCCCTCTGTTGGCTGGCCAATCTCAAGGACCCTTCAGGGCGCCTCTCGAGGTGGAGCTTGCGCCTTCAAGAATTTGAGGTAACAGTCGTTTACAAATCGGGCCGCACGCACACTGATGCTGATTGCCTTTCATGCGCTCCCCTCGCGACGACATTCAGTGACGATGATACCGATGGTCATTTTCTTTGTGCAGTCTGTGAATCTGACTTGGCCCAACAACAGTGGATTGAGTCAGAAATCCTACAACTTATCAAATACCTTCAAGGTCACAGCTCGAGTCCACCATCGGCATTCGCACGTTCAGGGTCATTTTGTCTCCATAACGACATCGTCTACAAAAAAAACTTCGACTGCTTTGCGACTGAATACCTCCTCGTCGTACCACCAAGGCTACGTGCTGACATTTTATCTTACTGCGACGACGAGCCTCCGTCCGGCCACCTAGGATTTGCACGTACCCTTGCCTGAATTCGAACTCGCTACTACTGGCCAAAGCTCACCCAGGATTTCAAGCATTACGTTAACACGTGCAATTATTACCAGCGCCGTAAAGCCCCACCTGTGCGCCCTGCTGGTTTATTGTAGACTGTTGCGCCCCTGTCACAACCGTTTGAACGAACCGGCATGGACTTGCTTGGACCCTTCCCGAAGTCACATTATGGCAACCACTGGATCGCAGTAGCTACTGACTATTTAACGAGGTACTGCGAAACGAAAGTCCTACAACGAGGCACCTCAAATGAGGTTGCGTATTTTTTCATCAACAACATCGTCCTCCGCCATGGAGCGCCAACAGTTCTTATCATTGACTGTGGAACAGCCTTTACAGCCCAATCGATGCAAGACGTCATGAGACTTGGTGAAACAGCTCATCGCAAAGCGACCGCACATCATCCACAAACAAGTTGTCTGATAGAGAGACTAAACAAGACGCTCGCTGACATGCTATCTATGTACGTCAACCTGCGATCACAAAAACTGGGATGCAATTTCGCCACACGTAACGTTCGCTTACAACACTTTGGTTCAAGAGACTACGGGTTTCACTCCCTTCCAGTTGCTGCACGGCCGAGCAGAAATAACGATGCTGGATGCCATGCTCTTGCCTGACATGACCGATATTCCTACTGATGCAAACGACGTTATCCGGCTCGCCGACACGGCCCGCCAGCTTACACTCGAGCGGATCCGAAAACAACAACGCATTGACTTGCAGAGGTACAACTCCCGTCATCGCCATGCTATTTACTAACCCGGTGATCTGGTGTGGCTGTGGATCACCGTTCACCAAAGGGGCCACTCGGAAAAGTTACTTCACCACTAGTTCGGACCTTATAGAGTACTACGGCGCCTCACAGATGTCGACTACGAAATTCTGCTTGAAGACACAGCTCGGTGATCTTGATGTTCCCAGCAGGCCGACATTGTTCATGTGTCACGGATGCAGCCACACTACCCTCAAGCCACCTGACACTGCTTCATCAGGCGTCTTTGTGCGTGCACGCGATTACTTTAACTTTTAATCGGCATTGATCATCAGGGTAGTACTTCTTTTTGAAGGGGGGGGGGATGTAATGCCACAGGCATGGAACGAGGTTTAGCCATGCCAATGCGAGTATTTGCCATGGTGTGAAGAAGAAGAGGACTGTCTGTGTGCTTGTGCTTTAACGTTCGGTCGGCTCGATGTTGAGTGCTGCTGCTCCTGTAAACAAACGTTGTGGTCTTTCTGTAATCACGTGACAAAATAATTGTTGTTTTTTCGAACCTTCAGTTTCATAGTAGCCAATGTAATTCAACTCATGCATGTGAAAAGTGCAACATGAAAAGCATTGATTGCCCTGAGAGGGAGGTGTCGATTCATTAATATTTATGCATTATCATTCCAGCATTAGATAGCAATAACATAGTAGGCCAATAAAATAGCAATAACATAGTAGGCCAATAATCAGGGTGGTACTTTTTTGGAAGGGGGGTAATGCCATAGGCATGGAACGAGGTTTAGCCATGCCAATGCGAGTATGTGCCAAGGTGTGAAAAAGAAGAGGACTGTTTGGGTGCTCGTGCTCTAACGTTCGGTTCGGCTCGACGTCCAGTGCTGCTGCTCCCGTGAACAAACGTTGTGGTCGTTCTGCAATCACGTGATAATATATTTTTGTAACAAATACTTCTTTGTGTTTCTGCGGTGCATACTTCTGTTTGATTATGATTTTTCTAGCTCCTGTAATAGTCCTTCAAAATTGGCTGACAGTATCAATAAATGAAGTCAAATGTAGTTCGCAGAAACTTTCCCATACAGAAGACTCGGCATAACGCACGGTGAAGTTTTTTTTATTATGCACTTATAATATGCACGAATTCCACCACAAATACACCAAAGAATGTTAAGAAAGCCCCCTCCTGTACAACATAAATGCATACAATTTTAATTTGCTTGGGAACAAAGATGACGTATTGACGAATTTCTGTACCAACAACTACATCAGTGATAACGCATACCTATATTGCATTTTGTTATAGATATGCGTGCTCAGCCTACAATCAATGCAGTGAGTGGCGGCCAACATATACGCTATTTCCGCTCCTAATCATGACAGGGTCAGCCGGTTACCTGGGCACTTGGAGCTTGTGCGCTAAAGTAGTCTGTGTTTCTTTTAGTATGCATGACTACTCACCTCGGAATATGGCCTTATGAGCTTCCGTGCAGCTGACTTAAGCCGCAACCTGTCTTACAACAGTATGATTGTGATAGTCAAAAATTCTATGCTTCAATATAGCACAGGAAGTTGCTGTCTTTGCTTAACACAGATAAAAGAACGGCTACGGCCGGTCGCTTCGCCGTACTACGTTCTGTAGGTAATTTGGAGTACAGCCACACTGTAGAATACCGGTGGTTTGGAACAATCAGACCTTAAGAAAGAATGTTGATTCCTTATGTTATTTTTGCTGTTTATGTGTATATCAAAAAGTGATATTTCGTGAAAGAGAAACTTGAGGACAGACATTAAAATATTAAGCGTGGAAGTCTGTCTGATCATTGTCGCAGAGGAATTCTACATAATGTTTTGACTTGCGAAGCCAAACACTTCATTGAACGGGACCTGTAATACGTGCAGCTGGGCGTGCTCCAAACCCCAAGAGTCGTATTCATGTTCCTGGAGTTAAGCCGGGCACTCAAAGGATGAGGACATTACAGGCAGAATAGACAGAAGCGCAGAATATACACGGAAACATGGTGGACACTCAGGCATGCGCAAATGTGTAGGCATCGAATAGCGAGAATTTTTTTTTTTTTTTTTGCATGAGAATAATGATGGTGCGCTGACACATTTCTGGCCTAGCTCACGTATTGAAGCCGATTCTACGATGAACCTCGTAGTTACATCTTTGCACATCGTTGAAAGTTAGCACCTGCGTGTGTCCTCCCTGTCCCGTCCTCGAAATTTCAGTGCCGCGCTTAACCTTACGAGCATGTTACAACAACAAAGTGAACTATTTGTCCATGCCAAGTATTTGTGTTTTTGTGTAGGCGAGAAAAATTCGCAGTTTCATTGCAAGAGCGAAGCAATCAATACGACAGCGATAACTTTGAATCTTATTTGTGTATTACTTTTTTACTGATGTCTTAGGTTTTGTGCTTGATTTTCGATTACGTGCGAAACAGGGCCGGTGTTAACCTGTCTGGGTTAGCTTCAGAAAATAAAAGCGGAAAAGAAAGCCACCTCCGTGGTGAGCGATGCGGTGTCTGTGCCGTCTATAAAATAACAGCATGCTGACTTATAGAAGCATCTCTGTATTCTAGGCGACCAGATTATGCTGGGTCTTCGAGAAACAGGTGTACAGTAAGTTTATCTGTAACTTGGTCAGTACCGCGTAGTATATGAGCCATTTTGTCGGCAAAAACGAGACTAGTGAAAATGCAATTGGTTCAAGTGCGTCGTCTTGGCCTTAGGCTGCCTAGGACGTCACCATTGGGTTTAGAACTTAAGAAAAACACGCTCTCGCCTATGATGCGAAGTACCTTAATTATGAAAGTTCCTTATAAGTGGCACGTGTCTGACACATCGGCAGGTAGATGTCTAGGTGGTGAAAGAATTCATAGTCACAGCATACTATGAATATTTCTCTACACGAATATAAACTCACAGGCCAGACTACAAAGCTCACTTTACTCTTTGGGAGCCCACACACGTTGTGTGCATCATTTCCTCTCATATAAAAAAACAACCATAAATCACCGGAAGAAACCAACTGCGTCCACCACGGCGGTGTAGTTGTCACATAGCCAGGCCGCCAACCCGAAAGTCACGAGTTCGATCTCAGTCGCGGCAGTCACATTTCGATCGAGGTGAAAAACTAGAGGTCTATGTACTCTGCGATGTCAGTGCACTTAAAGAACACATATGGGTCCTGCAGCCGCCCACTATGGTGTGCCCTAATATTGTATCGTGGTTTCGGCATGTAAAGCTTCACACAATATTATTATAAAATTCGTAATAAACGCTTAGTGGTGTGTTGTTCACTGTGACACAATGCCGAAAACCAATGAGTTCAGAACTAAATTGTTCAAGCCTGCTGCTCTCGGTTTATTTTACAGAGGTGCGTACGACAGGATTGATCACTTCATCTGTATATTCAGCTCGTCTGGCAATTAAAATAATTGAGCGTTTCAACACAAGACGACGGTATACCAGAGATGCGAGATTGCAGTGACAGATTTATTAGTTTTGCGTACCAAAATAAAAACTCTCTTTTGTGGCATGTATTATATACTTCCATAAAACCTCGACTTACGATGTTTTTTTTACTTTGCATTCGTTACACAAAATCTAGGCATTTTTGTAACTGTTTTCACTATTAGAACTTCTCCCGCCCCGAATCAGCTCAACACGAGTGCCTTGCCTGGAATCTGGCAGAGGCTCTACATTACTGCTCACCTCGCATGGCATTCTTTGATTCTCCCACAATGTTTGTCCAAAAACACATAACGTCAGAACCTTTTGTTCTCTCGGTAACTCTGACATTCATCTTTTTCTCACTGCCATTTCGTAAAATGCTCTATCCAGCCACCGACAATGTTCTTCCGAACAAAGGAATACTTGCTTCTGTCTCCCTGATATCAAACTATGACATAAACTTTTCGACCTTTGAAGAGGCCATTCATCGCTGGATTTTCTTCGCCCTTAACGTCCAAAACAAGCACCTTTTTCATGTGTTCCACCGTCGACCTCTTCATCAATGTACGGAGAAGGCAGTCGTTCGTTTCCAGTGCCCTGCCATATCGTTCGTCCGAAAAATATGCAAGCTTTAGCACAACCAAGCGTGTGTCCTCCTTGATTTGCTCGTAAGTGACGAAGAGTACGTTGGGCTCATGATTCAAGGCGTAACCAGCCAAGAGGTGATCAAAGTAGTCACCGTACCCGAAGTCGCCCCTCAAGAACAACTCGAGAAACTCATCGAAGGTCCCGTCTTGGAAGCGGAACGGACTCAGATTGCAGACGTGGAGGTAAAATGAGACGTAACAGTCCCAGGGATTGCGCGCCACGTACACGTACTTGGCGTCCGCGTTGAGGTGTTTCTTCCGCGGTGGGTCCAGGGGCGTCAACATCGCTCTGTAGGGAAGCGTCCGTTCGCCGTTGTGGGGTTTTCAGCCCTGGATGCCGGCATATTCAATAGATCGGCCGCTACTCGAAAACTCTTGGTAGTTCCTGATGGGCCGCCCTTCGTTTAAATCTAGGAGCGTCAGATACTGCATCCAATGTGTGCCACACTTTGGATAAGACATCTGGAGGATGTCGCCCTTCACTGGCGTGAAATGCAGGGCTTTTCTTAAGACATACGGTTGGACTATAGCGGAGCGTCGGACGCCGTCGATGACTTGGTACTAAGGTGACCTGAGAATCATGGCTGCCGGCATTGTATATAAGTAGCAGGCTCCTATGCACCCAGAGTTTCCAATGGCAGTGCACTCTTTGCACTGCCGCCTACGAGCTCGCAGTTACACTGCAGCTCATGAAGAAACGCTGATGACTAAAGGCAAGCGTACTGAGTGAAAACAAACACATTCACACACCCTCTCAGCGGAGGTCATATAATCAAACCTGTTCGACACGTGGCGAGCTCCTAGCTGACCTGCGCGAGCGTCGGTCATTGTTTTTGGTGCTCCTATCACTGTTATCAAGTGTTTAACGGTGACCTGTCAAACAAAGATGTCTCCCCTTTTCAGTGTACTGGTTGAGTTCGGCCACATGCGAACGCACAGCTAAACAATTATATGTGCGCGAATTTTTCTGAGCGGTCAGCTTGCTGCAACCATTCCCAAACCTTTGTCTTCACGGCCGGCGTACCACAACTACTAATCTCGGCAGCATTAATGTCGTGGCCACAATTAAGTGCCCCATTAGGCATAATTGCCGGTGGAATTTATATTTCCATGTGTCTATCCGCTGCATTTAGCACTTGCAGGTCAAGATATCGGTTACCTAAAAAACTTTAGGTATCTCCACGCTTGAAAGCTCCGGCAAAGTAATGAAACCACAAAACACAGTTTTTCAATACTTCGCTTCAGGTCTGTCTCATATAACAACGTTCGACTACCAATAGATCCAACAGTACGATGCACTAGCATTGTAATAAGGCTTGATAACAAAAATAGCAAAAACAAGCATAGAACTTCTAGAACGTGCTGCAAGGCTACCTATTACGTGAATTTTAGTGTAAAAAGAGTTAGAAGGTGCAAGAGATGTTTCGCTTACACCTATATAGCCAAAAATTTTTAAATACGTAATATATTTCTGTAACAAAAACTTGAGATAAAATGCCACTATGCTTCTTCTCACCGCATTAAGCCAAATAAAGCAGTACAGTTTTCAAATGGTACCGACTGGGAATACTATACAAAAATATATATATATATATATATATATATATATATATATATATATATATATATATATATATATATATATATATATATATATATATATATATATATATATATATATATATGTATGTATGTATATATATATATATATGTATATATATATATATATATATATATATATATATATATATATATATATATATATATATATATATATATATATATATATATATATAAGGTATGGGATATGGCACAACGGGAGCGTTGTCAACAAGGATAAATATATTTATTTCCCAACAGTTTCGGGAGGGGACCTCCCTTCATCAGGAAATGAGTTATACTGACATGAACTTCCTTGCTGCCGCGTCCCTCTCGCCTTGAAAGACGTTTGCGAGAGTGAGAGGGAACTGGAAGAAGGAAAAAAAAGAGAGAGAAAAAAGACGAAAAAAGAAAGAAAAGAAAGAAAGTAAAAAACAGGAAGAACCACTGTCAACACTGAAAACGAAGCCAACTGTCCGTCTACATCCACCTACGGTTCATATCACGTGCTGTTCAGTTCTTGGCGTGTGTCGGGCCACCCAAGATTGTCGCCGCGGTGCCGGGAGGGTCCGGGACGGCGTGCCTAAAGAAAGGGGTTTCCCCGTAATTGGTCGTTTGGTCGTTCGGCGGGCGGCGGGCGGTGTGTGTAAAGGAAAGGTTTCTCGTTAATGAGTCTGTTGCGTCCCGCTGCCAGTGACGTCTTCGAGGCGAGCGCGATGTCGCCGCCACTCAGTTCCGCGAACGCAGCGACTGTTGAGGCTGACCATTGTGTCGCGGGACGGTGCGCTGGCGCCACGGCTGGGCCCTGCGGAATGCGGCGGCGGTTTCGGGGAACGAAAGATTCGTCGCTGCTTCTTGGAGGGATGGGTCCACCCGGAACAACTGAGCATAGAGCTGAGGGGAAGTCGGGTTCCGGGTGGACGATTCACCCCCTTGATCCCCCCCTCTTACTGCGGGCCGCCCCTGCCTTTCGTGAAGTGGACTGATGGACCGAGATAGAGGGAGAGGGGCGGCAACGAGAGGGATAAAAAGGACGGAGGAGACGGCGGGCAAGAGGGGGAACAACGATGACCAGTTAACTTTTCTTTGAATGCAAATAAATCCCTTTTTTCAAGTTTCCTAAATGGACGTCCTGCTTTCATGACCTGCCTGATCTTGGTCATCCCACCCAATCTACCCCGACGACGCTACAAACTGGATGGCAGCGGTGGAATCAAGAAAAGGCATGCAGAAAACTGCGGACGGAAGATCGACTTCTGTGGATCCGGGATCAGCAGAACGAGACCTCGTGGCTCCGGGAGGCACAACCGTCGCAGTAACGGCATGAAGTTTTGGACGACTCCAGGAAACTAAGGACGAGCAGCAGAAGGCAGACCAGACGATCTGGGATCGGCGGTCCTGTGAACGTGGCTCTGGGAGACACGTCCTTCGCCAGCTCGAGGTTAGGTGAGTGCTTGAGCGATCACGTTTTGCCGGACGATAAGAACAGGGTTCTATCGGGCAATTGGCTCTGAAGGGCCGCCACAAGTGTGCGGTGAATATTGCAGAAGTATTGGTTGGCTCTTGTGAAGATATGGATATCGGAGTGTTAAAGAAAGAAGAGCTGTTGCTGTTAGCAGTAGAGCTCAGCTTGGATATCAATAGCAGATTAAGGAAGCCCGAAATTCGCAGTGCGATAATCGAAGGGGGTTTCGAGGAGGACGAGCTCAGCGAGGCCTGGGAAAAGATATGTGAGGAGAAGAAACAAAGGGAGGAAGAAAAGAGGGAAAGAGCGGAAGAGAAGGAAAGGCAGGAAAGGAGAGAACAAAGACAGGCCGAAATTGAGCTCGAGAGAATAAAGCTAGAGCAGGCGAGATTAGCACGCAGTGCAGATGCGGCGCCGCCGCATACTGAGAACCTGAAGATGACGAGTTTGCTTCAGCCGTACAAAACAGGCGAGGACATTGGTCTCTACCTGATTAATTTTGAACGGATCTGTGAGAAGCATTCATTTCACCAGGACACCTGGCCAGAGCGGTTGCTTGCGTTGTTACCGGGTGAGGCCTCGCAGGTCGTGGCCAGACTGAGCGCAGCCGAGGCAGGCGTATACAGTTCAGTGAAGTCGACATTACTCGCAAAATACAGGCTCTCCACAGAGGAATTTCGGAGGAGATTTAGACGGGAAAGAAAGAAGCCTGGTGAAAGCTTTGTTGAGTTTGCGTGTAGCCTGAGTGATAATTTTTCAGAGTGGGTGAAAGGAGCAGGTGCGGATAACTTAAGTAAACTGAGGGATCTAATTTGTTTGGAGCAGTTTTATGACACCCTGCCGGATAACGTGCGCCTGTGGGTCAAGGATAGGCAGGAAGGTGTGTCTGTTAGGAGTGCAGCACAGCTTGCCGACGAGTACGTGGCCAGTCGAGGCTTCAGGACCCCGATCAACAGCGCACATCACTATCAAAGGCCTGCACCACGGCCCCAAGCTTACACTCGAGGACCGCAAAGCGCAACAAAAGAGCGAGAGGAAACTAATCAAAATTCGGCGCGTGCTGAAGGCAAGCTGAAAGAGCAGGAAAAGAACAGAAAGGAGGTCAGAAATCATTTAGAAGAGTTAGAGTCGCGAGCTAAGGCGCTATGTTTCAAGTGCAACGAAACAGGTCACTTTGCCCGAAACTGCTCAAAAGGTAGGCCAGTGTTTGCTTGCGTAAGCGATCACCCGAGTAACCTAGATCTTTTGAAACCTTACACGACAGATTTAATGGTTAATGACAAAAGGTGTAGGGTACTCAGAGACTCCGCGGCCACTATGGACGTAGTCCATCCGAACTACGTAAAAAGTGAAGACTACTTATCCGAATGCGCGTGGATAAGACAGGCCGTCAGCGAAGATTCAGTGTGTTTACCTATGGCAAAGGTACACATTCGGGGTCCTTTTGGAGCGATCGAGACAGTAGCAGCAGTCTTCCGTGGGCTACCAGAGGGCTACCCGTACCTTTTCTCGAACAGCTCGGAGTCACTACTCAACGACAGGGGGTGCACTTTTGCTGATGCCCAGGTCATGGCTTTGACGAGATCGAAAGCACGCGTATTGGCTCAGCAGCTGCGTTACGGGGAAGGGGAAGGTGCCAAAGCGAAAGAGTTAACAACTGAATCCGAAGAAGTTAAGCCCGACGAGGCACTTATCCCTATTCCTCCGACCGAAAATCCGGAAAATGGTCAGATTAAGAAGCCGATAATTGAGAAAAGAAAGAAACCTTCGAAAGGAAAAGATCATAGTTTGCAGGGGTCCGTGTTGGCCCCAATCTCGCACAGCTACGAGCGCATGCTAGGGGTTGACAGGGAAGCGTTACGGCTGTCTCAGAAAACTGACCCTAGTATAGCGGTTATGAACAACGGAAACAGTGAAGGTGTTTCGTCAAGAAACATCTCTTTCGAAGTGAGGAACGGTATCCTATATCGTAAATACCGAGATAGGCGAGGGCAGTGCTACGATCAATTGGTGGTGCCCTCACCATACCGCAAGGACCTACTCAGTCTTTGTCACGATCACTCATGGGCAGGACACCTGGGCATAAATAAAACCAAGAAAAGATTGCTACAGGAATTTTATTGGCCGGGGTGTTTCAGGGACGTGCAGAATTTCGTGAAGACTTGTGACGCTTGCCAGAGAGCCGGTAGGTCTAACGACAAATGGAAGGCCCCGATGGTAA